TTAAAAATCACATATAATAATTCAAATCTACTAATATTCAAAAAAAAAACAAATAAAAAACTAAATAAAAAAAAAATAAACAAAAACAAAAAAAAAACAAAAAATGAATAAAAAAAAACAAAAAACCCCCTCTTAATATGTAAAAAAAAGATAATTTAATTAAAAAAAAACAAAAAAAAAACAATATAATCTAATAATATATTTATTTATTTATTTATTTGTATATAATTTTAAAAGGGCGTTATTTTTTAGTGACTCGTCGCCATGGTGACCCGTGATTAACCAATCAAAATTGATCATGAGATCACATAATCTAGTTTATTGATGTAGATCATTTTAATTTTTTTATGATTTTTGAAATTTTGATCAAAGATAACTTAGCACTCACTCAACCAAATTCGATGAGCTTTTTTTATTTTAATTGTAGAAGATAGCGGTATTAATATAAAAAAAAGATCATTGAATTTGGTTAAGTAGGTGCTAAGATACCTTTAATCAAAGTTCTTGCAAAATTTTAAACGTCAATCAAATAGGAGCTGCACCAAGAATTGCTTTTAAACTTTGATCGAAGATATCTTAGCACCCACCCAACCAAATTTGATGAATTTTTTTTATTTTAGTTGTAGAAGATTGTATAAATTAAATAAAAAAAGTTTATTGAATTTGGTTAAGTGGGTGTTGAAATATCTTTAATCAAAGCTCTTGCAAAATCAACTAAATAGAAGTTGTGCCAAGAATTGTTTTTAAGCTTTAATCTAAGTTATCTCAGCACCTACCCAACCAAATTTGATGAACATTTTTTTATTTTAATTGTAGAATATTGCATAAATCAATAAAAAAAAAGTTCATTGAATTTGGTTGGGTAGGTCCTAAGATATCTTTAATCAATGTTCTTACAAAATTTTAAATATTGATTGAATAGGAGCTGCGCCAAGAATTGTTTTAAACTTTGATCAAAGTTATCTCAGCACCTACCCAACCAAACTCGATGAAATTTTTTTATTTTAATTGTAGAATATTGCATAAATCAAATAAAAAAAAAGTTTATCAAATTTGGTTGGATGGGTGCTGAGATATCTCTAATCAAAGCTCTTGTAAAATTTTAAATGTCAATCAAATAGGAGCTGCGCCAAGAATTGTTTTTAAACTTTGATCAAAGATATCATAGCACCAACCTAATCAAATCTGATAAACTTTTTTTTATTTGAATTCTGTAATCTTCTACAATTAAATAAAAAAAAAGCTCATCGAATTTGGTCAGGCAGTTGCTAAGATATATTTAATCAAAGTTCTTACAAAATTTTAAACGTCAATTAAATAGGAACTGTACTTCTAGATTTGATTGAAAATATTTCAGCACCTACCCAACCAAATTTGATGAACTTTTTTTTGTATTAATTGTAGAAGATTACATAAATTAAAAAAAAAAAGCTTATCAAATTTGGTTAGATGGGTGCTGAGATATCTCTAATCAAAGCTCTTGTAAAATTTCAAACATCAATCAAATAAGAGCTGCACTAAGAATTATTTTAAACTTTGGTCGAAGATATCTCAGCACCAACCCAACCAAATCCGATAAACTTTTTTTTATTTAAATTCTATAATCTTTTATAATTAAAATAAAAAAATTCATCGAATTTGGTTAGGTGGATACTAAGATATCTTTAATTAAAGTCTTTGCAAAATTTTAAACATCAATTAAATAGCAGCTATGAAAAACTGAGTTTGAAGATAATTTCATTTCATGTTAACAGCATTATTAAAAATTATTTTATTTTATTGGGCATTACTACAGAACAGCCATCCCATAATCAAACATTTAATTTTAAAAAAACTTTTATTTAAAAAAAATTTATTGTATAGTATACAGGTAAAACAAAACCTACTCCCGCTCACATACCAACAAGATATTTAAAATACTCCAAAAACACCAAAAAGACTCACCAAAAACGCCAAAGAAATATTCTAAGAACTCTGGACCTAAAAGAGAATTATCCAAGAAACGACATTAGTAATGAGAAAGAGTGATAAACAAGAACACTGAAAAGACTCATTGAGAACAACAAAGAAATACTCCAAGAACACCGAAAAGACTCACTAAAAACACCGAAGAAATATTTTAAGAACTCTGAACCTGGAAAGAATTACCAAGAAACGACGTTAGTAGTGAGAAAGAATGAAGAACAAAAAGCTTAAAGAATACCAAAAAGACTCGATGGGAACAACGAAGAAATACTCCAAAAACACCGAAGAGACTTACTGAAAATGCCAAAGAAATACTCCAAGAACACCGAAGAGACTCACCGAAAATGCTGAAAAAATATTACAAGAACTTCGGACCTGGAAGATAATCACCAAAAAACGACGTTAGTAGTAAGAAAGAGTGAAAAACAAAAAGCTTAAAGAACACCGAAAAGACTCATTGAGAACAACAAAGAAATACTCCGAAAACGCTGAAGAAATACTCCAAGAACACCGAAAAGACTCACCGAAAATGCTGAAGAAATATTCCAAGAACTCCGGACCTGGAAGATAATCACCAAAAAATAACGTTAGTAGTGAGAAAGAGTGAAAAACAAAAAGCTTAAAGAACACCGAAAAAACTCGATGGGAACAATAAATAAATACTCCAAGAACACCGAAAAGATTCACCGAAAATGCTAAAGAAATATTCCAAAAACTCTGGACCTAAAAGAGAATCACCCAAGAAACAACATTAGTAGTGAGAAAGAGTGAAAAACAAAAAGCTTAAAGAACACCGAAAAGACTCGTTGAGAACAACGAAGAAATACTTCAAGAACACCGAAGAGACTCACTGAAAACACTGAAGAAATACTCCAAGAACTCCAGACCTGGAAGAAAATCACCAAGAAACGACGTTAGTAGTGAGAAAGAGTAAAGAACAAAAAGCTTAAAGAATACTGAAAAAACTTATTAAGAACAACAAAGAAATACTCCAAAAACACCGAAGAGACTCACTGAAAACGCCGAAGCAATATTCCAAGAACTCCGGACCTGGAAGAGAATCACCAAAAAACAACGTTAGTAGTAAGAAAGAGTAAAGAACAAAAAGCTTAAAGAACACCAGAAAGACTCATTGAGAACAACAAAGAAATACTTCAAGAACACCGAAGAGACTCAACGAAAATGCAGAAGAAATATTCCAATAACTCTGGACTTGGAAGAGAATTACCAAAAAACGACGTTAGTAGTGAGAAAAAGTGAAGAACAAAAAGCTTAAAGAACACCGAAAAGACTCGTTGAGAACAACGAAGAAATACTTCAAGAACACTGAAGAGACTCACCGAAAATGCAGAAGAAATATTTCAAGAACACTGAAGAAACTCACCGAAAATGCTGAAGAAATATTCCAAGAACTCCGGACCTAAAAGAGAATCGTTCAAGAAACGACATTAGTAGTGAGAAAAGTGAAGAACAAAAAGCTTAAAGAACACTGAAAAGACTCATTGAGAACAACAAAGAAATACTCCAAGAACACCGAAAAGTAGGGTTGCATCGGTCCTGAAAAAGACCGGTCTGGACTGGTCCTGGACCGGGACTGATAAGGAATGTGAACTATTAAAGGACCGGTCCTAGAATTGGTCCTTGTAAACATAAATGTGATCTTTGTATCACCTAATCAAATTTCTTGATCAGGTGTAATGTAGATCATATGATGTTTGTTTACATCTGACGATCTGTAAATATGTCATTTTCGACCAATAATATCTTATGCATTTAGAGATGACGTAATTATAGAAGAACTATTTTGGGACCAAGACTGAACCAGACCAGACCGTAAATCACTATTTAATCGGTCTATTAAGGACCAGAACAGACTGGACTGGACCGATGCATCCCTACCGAAAAGACTTACCAAATGCCAAAGAAATATTCCAAGAACTCCAGACCTAGAAGAGAATCACCCAAGAAACGATGTTAGTAGTGAGAAAGAGAGAAGAACAAAAATAGAACTAACTTAAATGCCGAAAAGACTTATTGGGAACAACAAAGAAATACTCCAAGAACACCAAAAATACTCACTATAAATGCTGAATAAATATTTCAAGAATGCCAAAAAGACTCACCAGAAGAACATTAAAAAACTCTTCAGGAAACATCGAAGAATACTTCAAGAATATCGAAAAGAACTTACCGGAAATGCCAAAGAAATACTTCAAAAACGCTAAATCTAGAAAAGAAAAAAAATAAAGAAACGTTAGCAAAAAAAAAAAAAAAAAAAAAAAAAGAAAAAAAAAAAAAAAAAAAAAAAAACAAAAAAAAAAGAACGAATGAAAAAATAAGAAAATAAAAATGCCTATTTAATTGTTGATATTATTAATTGTGTATATATTTGAGCATATAGGGAGAAAAGTGAGCATACGTATTCTCA